CGTGGTGAGCTTCAAGTTTATGATCTAAGCATAATCCATTACATAAAGATTAACCATTCATTTTAATACATTACAGAATTCCACATGTGTTATTTTTAAATATTGATTAATTGAATGCCAGTTTAAAATTCCATCTAGCTCGGAAGCAGCTTTTTTTCCAAACAGCCTTTAAATCCCAGTGAATATGTAGAAACAGATAAAAATTGCATTATCTCTGAAGACAAAAACTGACAGATTGTCTAATCAGAGAAAAATTTATATTAATAAAAAGATGTTGGAGATAGACTAAGTTATTCAAATGTTTACTCATTTTTCACCATTAATATAAACAAACAAACACATGGAAAAAAATCATTGTACGGCACAAAAACCTCTGTCAAAGAACTTTTGCCAATACCGAGTTTAACTAAAACAGTTTCTTCACAACATTATTGCTCAGAAACTTCAACATCTGAATCTAACATCCATGACACTGTCTGATAAAACACGTATCTGTTGAAAGAATTAATACACTTTTCAGGGGCTTCCAATTTTTTTTCTTTATTGGTTATCAATTTCTATTTAGGGCTTTAAAAGATGTTAAAGAAATGAATAATATCTAATGCATATACAGGGTGGGAAATAAGTAGGTTTACAGTTGTGAGTACCAGAGACACAGGTTATACTTGTATTATTAATTATTGTATTGTTTTTCCACCCAAACAACTGTAGACCTACATTTGCCCCACCCTGTATTTACAAAACACTTTTGAAATGTAATACTTCACGTCTCCTGGCTCTTCTCACAAATACATGGGGTTATAAAGTTATTATTACTATTAGTTTCATCTGTAATGACTGTAATACTAGTATTAAACAAACACACTATTACCCAGTCAATTGTTCTAGAAACTCTGCATATCAGCTTAATTGTATGCATTCTACAGATACAGAACTGAGAAACGGACTCATCTGGCTTATGACTAGAATTTTTAAAAATTCTCCTTGAGAACCTCGAAAACAAATTACATGAAAAAAAGATGTGCTGTTTGGTAGCATTTAAACGTGATTTGGTAAAAGTCACTGTAAAAAATGAATGCTTTGATGTAAAAATTAGGTAAATAATTTTGTTTTTCTAAAGAAGAATAATAAACATATGGAAAACATTATGAGGAAAGGCACATTAAGCTAAAAGTCTATTAAATTTAAGAGAAAAAAAAGGCGCATAATATTTCTTCAGGAGAAAGCTAAATATTTCCTCTTCAGCTTTGTCTCTGTGCTATCCATTAACGTGGTACTATTATTTTGTGGTACTGGATTCTATTTATTTTATTCTGTATTGACCCAATTATGAAGACACAAATCATTTGAGTGGAGAAAAATAGAGACTATGCAATTGTTTGGTATTAAGTAGATTAAACAATTTGTTCACTGGTGCTTTACTTAGGTACTTGGGAATGTATAGAAGAGTAAAGCTCAATTTTTACATATATATTGGGCCATATATGTTTCTTCTATTACTAAAATGCTGTACCCTTTCTCACCTCATATTCTTGTTCTTTTGGTTTTGAGCAGTTATAAATACCCCACACTCAAATCTATAGTTTCAGAATCACTTCTCTATATTAAATAAATCTGATAATTATGAATTCTTGACATCCATATAACTATCTACATACAGTCCTATGTCATATGTATATGTCATTAAAAATACAATAACCTGGAAACCCAGGAAAAATTCCTCTGCTACCCTCTGCTACATGATTAGTATGTGCTTTCCAGACTAAGGGGGGATGTTCTATTTATAACTCTCTTTTGTTTCCTACCATGTGGCCAAGTTTCCACTTATTACATGTCTGCTTGCCTTAATATTAACATCCAGTTTGGAGCGCTGTAAACTGTTTCTCAACCCCTAAATTAAAGCAAATGATATCCACTCCACATCCTACACCAATTTTACTAGAAGCCACTTCAAAGATTCCATTTTAAAAAATGAAGTATGGCCACTGCTTCCTGAAGCCAAGGTTGGCCCTGTTCATAATGAAGTGAAACTTTCTGAGTTCCCTTCTATTTAAACACTGACTGTTTTTTCCGTGGCATTTTTTTCTCTTCCACTAAAAGTGAACCTGGTTGTTTGGCTGCTGCTGTTGCTGTTAGGGGGAGGGGAGGGGAGGGGAGAAAGCGACCCTGCCTCGCTTGGTGTTGCTTGGGACCAGTACATGTGTGTGTTTGCAGAGCCATTCCGGGGCCACGTTTGGCTAGCTTTATCAGCATAAAAGTTCCCACACATGTGAAGATTGTCTCGGTTACACAGTTCCAAAGAGAGCAGCAGCGTATATTTCGTTGTTATGTTGTCACCGGCTTATTAAACTATATAAAAGTGAAAAGACATAAAAAAAAAAAAAAAATCCCTCTGCCCTGGCTGGTTTGGCTCAGGGGTTGGGGCATCAGTCCACAGACTGAAGGGTCTCAGGTTTGATTCTGATCAAAGGCACGTATCTGGGTTGCAGGTTAGACCCCAGCCCTGGTGGGGGTCGTACGTGAGGCAACCAATCAATGTTTCTTGTTTCTCTCTCTCTCACCCTCTGTCCCTTCTACTCTCTCTCAAAATCAGTGGAAAAATATCCTCTGGTAAGGATTAACAAAACAAAACAGAACAACAAAAAAACCTCTACAACTCTAAGTTTCAGCTTCCTCATCAGACCTCTACTTTTTGATCATTTCCTCGACTGTTCAATTATACTAGCCTCTCCAGCTTAATGTCAGCGTGTTGCTTAACAAGCAACAGTCACCCTCTTCACCTATTTACACTGTGACTGTAACATAAGCTCTTGGCAATGTAACAGCAAACCAGCCTCCTTCCTGCCCTCCACACAGCAAAAGAACAGAAAATGGTTACAGACAGAGTCGCACGTCCTACTACCACAGGAGCTGCTGAAGAGTACAATATCCTCCCCACCACCACCACCAAACACACACACACACAGTTGGGCTTAAATTGAAGATGTATTCCTTCTGAAACGTTTCTTCCTATCAGAAGGTGCTACTAGCCCCCAGCCTTTTCAAAGTAATTTATCATCTTGGGTCTTTCAAACTCTGCACACCATGGGAATATGAGCCCACATGAGGGTGGACAAAAGGTTATGAAGGACAAAGGGAGCCTTTGTATTTCTCCTCCACTCAGAGCCAAGACCATGAGACGAATGTGCTTGCTTTCTCCCTTTGAGACAGAGTTGTTGCTGGTTCGCCTTTTGACTAAGGTGTGGTATCGTGGGAGAATCTCAGCCTTATATAGGTTCTCACCATGTTCCCCATCATGCTTGGGCCCTAGGTTGTGTTGTGTTCCCCAGTACAGCTGGTACAGAATGGGCAAATGCCCTGGGACTTCAGCCCCCATCTCTCTATAAATGGAAACTCTGCAATTCAACTAATTCAGAAAATGGCATTAAAGCTTACCTTCTCCTGTGACTATATTGTCTTCTTTCTGTTCCTAGAACAAGATCCTCCCCTCTCCCAAGGCCTTTTGCCCAAATGGTGTTTCATCTGCTTGAAGTATCCTTTTCACAGACTGGTGCACATGCATGCCTACACCCACACCCCCCTTACTGGGTTAGTCCCTTCTTATTCTTTAGACTTGATTTTAAACGTTACTCCCTCAGATGGGCCTTCCGGAACTGTTAATATCATAATGTGATATCAGCAATACTTGGGCATTTTTAAGAGGCAGACTGCCCAGAAGCAGAAGTTTGAGTTCCTAGATTTTGTACTATAGCCCTGTATCCCAAAAAACTAAACTAGCATTCATTATATAATAATACAAGAATAAAATATTACTCCATGTGTTGCCATATAGAGGATATCTTCATACGGGAGATGGGGGGAGGCAGAGACAGGCTGAGACGCAGCTTTTTAGGAACTTAGAAACTTGCTGGTCAGGGACACTTAAGTTTCAGTTGCAGCTGAACACAAAATCCTGAAGTGATGCCTAGTTCTGTATTGTTTTAGAAACGAAAATACCTAGGGAAAAAAATTTGCAAAAATTCCCAGGCCCAAAAGTCCGTGGGATAATGCGTTTCTCTTCTAATCCAATACACTGTTCCTCGCCTGCTTCCAGAGGGTAACTAAGGATTTGTGCACACATGTTACCAAGTCAAAATAAGCCCTTGTGGGGCTTGATCTTCACATTGCTTTTTAACTTCTGCCAAGCGACTATACACTTTAGGACTGTGACATTAAGCTTTACTTACTGATTTTCAGCTTTAACAAAAAACTTTCACAGAGTCTTATCATTAATCATCAAAATCTTATGTTCTAAGAACATCAAATTAATCTATTTTGAGCTGAGTTTAAGAAATGAACACTAATTTAAAACAATACCCTTAAATGCTATTTATATCTATTCTTTTAGATATATTCACAATAACTGAGTTATCATTAGAATTTAATAAGCACTTTTTAGCCCTCCAACATTCTAGATCTCTTCATTTTGATCATCTAACAGAATATGTTTGATAGAAACCAGGGTTTCTTTTAAAAGGATGCTTGCCAACATCAGAAAAACATCTTAAACAAAATATTCCATATTTCAGCACCATGTCTTCTCATCACAGAGCACCAAATTATCAAAAGGAACATTAGTTACATGATTACAACAGTACATTCTACTATCTTCATGCTTTGTACTCCTCAGAATGTGATCATATTTCAACCTATTAAATTTTATGGCTGGAAGCACATAGGAGCTGAAGAAAGCAGATACAGTTTTGAGGGGATTAATATCTTAAGAAGAACAAATTCAGGAATTTTATCAAATCAAATCAACAGTAATAAGAGATATTATTGTCCTAAAAAAAAAAAAAAAGAGCAATTGACAAATTATTCCTGAGTGCTTGTCATGTAGCAGGCACTGTTTAAATATATATCCATAGAAACTTAAAAATGTTCTCTCACTGAAGCTCTTAAAATGTTTGTATTACAAATAAGGGTACGCACCTGACATACACACAGATAACACAAAGTACCTGAAGGGCCGTGAGGATGTTGGCTAAGGCTTGTCCGTATGTGTCATGACAGTGAACGGCAAGAGCACTGGGTGGGATTTCCTTTATGACACTTTCCAACATTCTCTTCATGCTTCCTGGAGTTCCCACGCCAATTGTGTCTCCCAGGGAGATCTCGTAACAGCCCATGCTATACAACCTCTTGGATACCTATTGAGACAGTTGAAGAGCTTGTAAAACAATGGAAATGAACAGCAAACATAGAGGTAAACATCACAACTATGATCATGACGTACCCATGGAAAACATTTTAGTTTTCTGGTCCATTTCCTTGCTCATTCAATCCTAAGCTTTATATAAAGCCCTGAATGACATTACTGTAATTATCTTTTATTAATATTCAAGTTTGCCCTAAAATCGTAACTATCTATCAGTTAGGAATTATAAACTACAATTTCAATTATGGCAGGGTTACTTTTCTCAACCCCAAAGGGAAGCATTATAAATCTACTTTGGAGATAGCATTTCTCAAGGCATTAGATTTGAGGTCAAGAAATAGTAATACCAGTTTCAGCTCTGTCACTCAGTAGATTTATAATTGGTAGAGTGACTAAATATTTCTGGCTTAATTTTCCTGGCTCAAATATTTCTGACTCATAAATGCATGCATGTATGAATATGATCTTGCATTTCTTGACTCAAGTGCTAAGGCTTGATATTATATCAAGGTATAGTGCAAGGGCCCTTCAAGCTGAATAACTAATGTTACTTTGAAGAGCAGTAAGAATTTGCATGAAGACAACATGGTTTGCTGACCAAAACATGGATTCTGGAATTAGACAGGCCTGGATCTAAATCTCACCTGTTACCCATATTAGTCATGTGATACTGGGCAGAAAAATTAACCTGTTTAAACTTCAGACCCTAGTCTGTAAAATAGGGACAACAAAACACCCTATTTTGGGTATTTTCAAATCCTCATTTTTTTTTAATTGTTAAGAATGACAAAAACAATGATGTCGATAATGACATATTTAGCTGTGAAAAAATGAGAATATATATAAATCACATTGTACAAAATCTGGCACATGTACACTCATTAACTCATATATTATGCATTTCTTCAGTGCCATTTCATGCCAGGCACTGTGCTAGGTGCTAGAATATAGTGGGCGGATAAATACTGAGATGGCTCATGCTGTCATGGAGCCTGGAGTCAAATGAGGACAGACCTTAATCAATTCCATTCTGGAATGTGTAATTGCAGCTAAAATAAAAATTTTTTAAACAAAGAAACAGGAGTCTAAGGCCATGCGGCAAAGGAAGTTGACCTAGATCTGTCAAGAGGCAAGGGCCCAAGGGCCAGCTTAAGATAAATGAAGCATTAACTTGTTGGGGAGGCTGAGAAAGAAGAGTATGAGAAGAGTGTTAAATACCAAATGCACACGCAAGTGTATTTGGGAACCTGAACTATAATATGCAAAGTGCACTCCAGGCAGGAAAAATGTGAAACACAAAGTACAATGTGATGAGAAAGCAACAACCAAAGGGGAATGAAGCTGCATGATGCTGGAGAGGTGGGCATGGGGCAGACCATACAGAGCCTGCAAATCAACCAAGTTTAGCATTTTGGTTGAGGATTCTACCATACGAGCAATAGAAAGCCATGGCAGAATTTGGCATAGTTGTGATACAATCAGATTTGTTTTATGAAAAGGCTATATCAATAACAATATCAAAAACAGGATGGAGAGTACTCAGAAGGTCTATCTAGTCCATGTAGAAGACTATTATTGGATGGAAACGTGGATTAAAAAGTCATAATGCTCATTCTCCTCTATTACCTAGTAAATGCTGGAATTGCTTAATGGCCAGGGAAAGAAGAATAAAGCTTCAAAGGCAAAACCTAACAGGTTGGAGAAAAGTCATAAGTGTGGTGTCAAGGGAATATAAGGGTACAAGTTACAGGAAGGAGGGAATGGTCACTAGTCCCAAATTCTGCTGAGAAGTCAAGATGAAGACTCAAAGTAATCTTGCATTTCTTGGCCCAAGTGCTAAGTAGTGATCTTATAAAGAGGGATTTCAGTGGAGTGATGGTCTAGAAGAGTTGGTGGCACATGGGGAAATGGACACCACTGCTATAGACAATGTTTCAAAGAAGTTCAGATGTAGAAGGATGGAGATGACTGAGAACTAAATGAGGATGCTGAATCAGATGAAAGAGGTTTGAACATGCTCAAGTGTCAATGGGAAGGAGTCTGAACAGTTGAATATACAGGGGACTGAGTGAGGGGAAGAACTAGAGACTTGAAGGACTAGAGAGTGAACACAATTTGCATTAATCATTTCAGAAAGTAAGAAAGTGAGTTGGCTACAAATATATTAGAATAGCACAGAAGGCCCATGAAAGGTTGCTGGTGATGAATTTGTAATGTTTCTTATTCTTCTCAGCAACTGCTTAGGCATTCTGGTGTAGGAATGGAGAGCCAGAGGATATGCATGGTCCATCCAGAGATGGCACGAGTCAAAGGCAGAAGAGCAAGGAGTGTGATGTACAGGCAGAATTGGATCACGTTTTGTGGAGTCTGAATTTATGCTAATTTGGAAGTGTTCTTTAAGAAAAAATACATAATTGTGAATACAAATTATTAAAAGAGTCTTGAAAGGATCCCATGCAACTGAAGGACTACAACATGTAAGCTTTGTTATTTTATAGTATATCTGCCTCTGTGTGCAAAGGTCTTGCTTAAATAACAGACCGTAGGCTATGTCTCATTTGAAAAATCTGCAGTGAATTTCAAAAGTTCAAATGCATCCACAAAAACAGGATTGGCTTTAACCAAACTGAAAGTTTATCCAGCCTAAATTTTGATTTCTAACTATGCCATCGTCACTGCTTCGGTACCACATTAGGAAATTCATGAACTTTAACAACCCTAGCAACAGGTGCACATGAACATACTTCATGTACAAATGAGTTTCTGACGAAGTCTAATATACTCTCAGAGACTGAGCATCTTACATTCATTGGTATTCATTAATTAAACAACAATATAAGTAAAAACTGAACTTCAATAAGAGGTCCTAAATGACTAATCTATTGCTGTAAAAATGTTCTGGATGAGCAACTTGCATCTCAGCAGTAAGAGCTATAGGACCCCAAAGAAACAAAATGCCGAAGCAGGGTGTACTCCAATATATGTACCAAAAGTGGGAGGAAAAACAAGGGGACGCTACCTGACAACCAAGGCCAAGTTGAAGTGGGAAAATGCCCGCACATTCTGATAGAAAGGTCACTCCTTGTAGTCTACCCACATAAAAACAAAGCAGATATTCCTATTCCCTCCATCTTTGAGCACCCAAAAGATAAAACTAAAATGTTGCTTAAGTTTGAATAGTTATAGGCAACATATAGGTCTTCAGTGTTACAATGAAACTATTAGTTAGGCAACCACACACGTCTCCCACTCCACGATTCCCTTTAGCCTTTGTTGTGCAGATGCACTAAATAGTGAGGAAAATAGACCACTTTTTAAAATATTATACATTGTACCATGAACCAGAAAACCAAAGGCACAGCTTACTTCTGTCACTTTTTGCGGTGTGATGCTTCCTTCATACGGACAGCCCAGGGCACAAGACACATACCTAGATTTAAATACAAAACCATATAAATATAAGTGTAGTGGATGACCCACTTCCTAATTTTCATTTTTTTTTTAAATAAGGAACTATCCAAAAAGTCACCAAGAAAATTTCTTTTACGTCCTTCATTATTATTTTATGCTCAGACCAAACAATTTTGGAACATTCCAAATTGAACTCACATGTTTATTTTTCTAATTGTTACAATTTGATATATGCTATTTGATGGCAGATGGAAATAACATACAGGTGTTTATCTTAGGGGATTGTGTATACTCTAGCAACATGTGAACATTAAAAGTGGAAAATACCAATGAAATATATAGTTTTATTTAAATAAGTACATACGTTCAACTGTTAACTATCCAGGTTTTTGGAACCATATAGAAGAGCATGTAGATGACTAACTGCACGTCTCTCTTCACTCCCATCTGGATGTCTTGGCCTCATTTAGATAGTCATTAATCACCCCAAAACTCTTAGAACTGGCCACAACCTCAAAGTTCATCTTGTTTCTCTCTTGTGGATATACCTAAATCATCCCAAACAGAAGAGTGTCTAGTCTGCTTTTTAAAAGCTCCAAATAAAGATATTCCATAAGCTTCTTCAATAATTTCATATAGAAAGTCAAGCCTTTCCTGCAAGGACAATGATACATTTCCATCTTAAAGTATTAGGTTTAACAAAAAGTCTGTTTTAGCTATTTTCAGTTCAACACCAATTCCATTATATTAAACTTTCCTCAGAGACTTTACAACACTTGTATTATAATAATGCACCACACATCTGATTGTCAGGAATGAAGCAATTCATGGGAGGGAGAGAGGGATGGTGGGAAATGAGGCTGGAGACCGGTTCTTTGGGCCAGAATACGAAAGGCTTTAGATAGCAAGGCCCTTGAATGCCACGCCAAGGAATTTGGACTTTGAGATCACTCAGACTTGCTTTGAGGCACTCTAAATTATTAGGTAAGGTACTGACAAGATCAGATTTGTTTTCCAAAAATGTATCTCCTTGGGAACATGGAAGTGGTTGCCAGAGGAAAGGGGAGGCAAAAACAGGAGAGAAGACAAGACCATATTCCCGTGGTTCTAAAATGCTGTCAATTGGGATATACTATGGATTTCATTACAGGTTTTGGAGTAAGAAAATATAATATATATTGAATGATTCAATACATATCCATTGATTCTAAAGATGTAACCTAATTTCAAAAGTATTACAATGTGAATAAAGCTGCGTTTTGACACTAAATAAGCAGTTCCTTAAGTCAGGCAAGCAGTTATGAGGGAAGGGGAAAGAGGACAAATTCAAGTAAAATTTAAAAGTGATGCTGGGCAGGAAACACATCTCTCTGCTTTCCCAATTACTGTAAACTGTTTATGGTTTCAATAATCTATAAATTTAATCAAGACATGAGGAAGAAAAACGTAACATTGGAGAAGGTGGCTAAGAATAAAAAAGAGTCAATATATTTTTATTGAATTTACTGTGCTGACATTGGTTAATAAAACCATATAGGCTTCAAGGGTATAATTCAGTAAAACATCATCTGCACACAGCATTATGTGACTTTCCTACCAAGCAAAGTCTCTTTCTGTCCCCTTCCCCCCTCCCACTTTGCCTACCTCCACCAGACCCACACCCTCCTTGCCCTCTGGCCATCACCACACTGTTGTCTGTGTCTATGTGTTACATGTATGTATGTATTTAGGCTAATCCCCTCACCTTCTTTCATCTAGTCCCCCTACCCTCCAACTCTGACAGCTTTTAGTCTGTTCCATGCATCCATGCCTCTGACTCTATTTTCTCCATCAGTGCACTTTGTTCATTAGATTCCACATATAAATGAAATCATATGGTATTTGTCTTTCTCTTACTGGCTTATTTGACTTGGCATAATAATCTCCAGGTCCACCCACACTGCCTCAAAAGGTAAGATTTCCTTCTTTTTTATGGCTGAGTAGTAGTCCATTTTGTAAATGTACCACAGCTTTTTTATCCACTCATCTACTGATGGGCATTTGGGTTGTTTCCAGATCTTGGCTATTGTAAATAATGCCAAAATGAACATAGGCATGCATGTATTCTTTTGAATCCATGTTTCAATATTCTCATGGTATAGTCACAGAAGTGGGATTGCTGTGTCAAAAGACAGGTTTTTTTCAATTCAGATATAATGGTTATAGATAATGTGTTGGGCATATAAGTACACTGACTCTGAACCCAAAATATCTAGATGTGGTTAAGTAGAAAATCCAAGCCATCCATTTATATGCTGTTCCTCTAAATGTGAAAAACAAAGCAAGCAAAAAGTAACAAAGGCAAAACAATATGAAACAAACCTTTCCTGTGTTCTTATTACCTGGCCACAGCTACCACTTTATGCCATAATCCTGGTCTCTCTGAGTACATTTTCATTCACCCAAGTTTTCCTGCTAGTCCTTTCCAGGCCTGTGGTTTGCCCAGTCTTCACACTCCATTGAATTTCTTCTTTCTTTCACCCATTCACACATGGGGCTTCTGTCTCCAAAGTGAATGTGACGGTTCTCAACTGTGTTCATTAGCTGCACTTCAGCACTCTAGAACAGCAGTCAGCAAACCAAGGCACAAAGGCCAAGTCCTCCTCACCACTCTTTTGCAAATAAAATTTATCGGAACAAAGCCAGGCCTATCTGTTTAGCTACTTCCCTTGGCTACTTTTGTACTATAATAGAGTTGAGTAGGTGAACAGAGACCATCTGAACCTCCAAACCTAAAATATTACTTATTGGCTTTTACAGAAAAACCTTGCCAATCACTGGTAACAAGTAAGGCATTTTTATGACTGAAAAAGTCTCCATCATGATGAAAAAAAGGCTACATCGACTGCTTTGACCAGTTGCTAACATCAGTTTCTAGACTTCTGCTCGTCTCCAGTAATCTATTACAGTGGTTCTCAAACTTGGCTGTATGGAATCACCTGGGGAGCTTAAAAAACAAAATAAAACCCCAATGTTTAGGATACTCTCCAAACTAGTTGAATCAGAAACGTAGAAAATGAAATCCAACCTTTAATGGTTTTAGAATAATTTTTAAAGTTCCATTATCATTCCCATTGAAAATCACTCAGCTGTTAGTAACAATGCCTTACCTGGGGTCCCTGATTCCCTTGTATAAAGAGCAACATTAAATAGACTTGATAGTATCTAATCTCAGGACTCTCCCCACTACTGTGCAATGACATTTTTATCCATCGTTGGTTGGCTGGTGGTTAAATTGATAATTTTTAGTGAGTGTGTTTTCATAGTGATTTCAGTTTCTGTAGGAGTTCCAAAAGAGTCTTGTATTATTTAAATGCCCCTAAGAAGGAAACCTGATTTCCTTGCCCTTGCCCTGAGGACTTTACCAGTCCCTGAACAAATTTCTACCTTAAGTTCTCAGTTGGGTTTCTACAGTACTCATGTGTTATAAATCCACAACCCCTAACTATACATGGCGTGGGTTCCAGTGACTGCATTGGCAAGGAGGTGTTTTCAGGCCCCAAGAAGACTCAGCTACAAACCCATTTTAGCAGAGCATCTACCTTTTCCCATATACACATTGAAATCCTATCACCAAGTCACCACGCGTTGGACCTAGGATAGATGAATCCCCTGTGCTAGTGGCATCAATCTGCATGCTGATCACATGGCCATTGATAAAATCTGGGGACTTTCTATTCTTGGCTATATGCTTTAAAAGTTGTTTTATTGGTGTGTTAGCAATGTGAATAGAAAAGGGAGTCTCCACATTAGCTCGGACCCCCAGTCTCTCAGCACTATGTAGATAATTCCAAGCACTATGTAGACAACTGCCAATCCCTTCATGGAGTTTAGGAATTGATTGCTCGACACATTCAGGTGGCATATTAAGCCCAACATATCCAAAACGATGCTCATCCCTGTTTCTTCAGCATATGCCATGTTAAAAAATGAGAGTCATTTCCAGAGTCTGTCCTGCTGAATCACTTGACAGTGGACACCTTTCAGAACATATTCAAAGGCTGGCGCATTCTTCCCCTCCAGCCTCTACAGCATGTGGCCTCTGCCAGTGAGAGTCCATGTGCAAACGACAGCCTCCGACTTCCCTCTCCAGGGCAGCCACAGGCGTCTCCCACGTGTCCTCCTTGCCTCTAGTCTCACGCCACTCATTTTTACTCCAATATCTATTGCCAAAATGATTTTCCTAGAGAAAAGATCTCACGCTATGTTTTTCCACTTTGAAAATCTTTTAATGGCTTGCCATTGTATAGCAAATAAGCTTAGTTTCAAGTTCAGAAATTTGTGAAACTTAAATCTAGCTTCCCACCTCTCTTCCATTCACAGTCTCCAGAACTCCCACTGCAGCAAAGGTAAACGTCATCCTGCTCCCCAAACATTCCTTGAGATTTCTCTTCCCTATGCCTTTGCTCCTTGAAGATTTCCTGCCCTGACTGGAAAGGCCATTATTTCTGAGGATGTTCCATATATTTACCCATCTTTAATGATTTTATTTTATTAACACCTTCTCTGTGAACCTTCTCCAAATAACTGCAGAAAAAATAAAATATGGAATTACTTTAAACTTAATAGGAGTTATCTGTATCTCTTCTTATTGTACTAGTCTTTTTTTTTTTTTTTTTTTTGACAATCTGATAATTATTACCAATCTGCTGGTAACTCTTTGAAATTAGGCAGACTTTTCATTTTCACGTTCCACATAGTATGAGACAGTACATTACATAAAACAATATTTCTTGAATTAATGCACCAGCATGTCCATTAACATGCCATTTTCACCTTCTGAATGACTTTCTATAAAATTCCTCCACTATAAAATAAAGGTATAGAATTTTCAAAATGGTGGTGGAGTGAACGGAAGCTACACAGACTGTCTCCCAGAACCAAACTGGAATTACAACTATAACACAGACAAATTGACGGGAAAAAGCAACAGAAAAGCAGCTTGCAAGGACCACATAACCAGGGACACTGAATCGATCC